AGGCACTTACTTGCTACCGGACACGTTAATAGGCACTCTGGTTACAACTAAAAAATTTCCAACAGCTGCCAACATGCGTCTAATGGTAAATCGTCATTGTTGTTATAAAACAGTACACGACTAAATCAGCAACTTTTCCAAGGAATACGGATGCAAATATGAAAGCAGAGCTGCTCGATATGACCTATGCAAGAAAATCCCACCAAGAAAGGCGTTCAATTACACAGACATGAATTATCGCTATGTCTACCATCGGCCACATCGAACACCATTAGAAGCCCTATTAGACGTGAGCAATGTGTAAAATCCAAGTGAGTTCCTGATCCGTAATAGTGCTTGAAAATTTGCTTTTCAGGCTGTGCACGAATGGTGGGATACGCACTTGTATAATCACGGATTCAGAGGGCTTATTCCGCGAAAGAAGGACTTCCCAACAATTCCATTTTTCATGGTTTGTTTCTGCTATCTACAAACGCTATGATACCACATGACTCTCGAAGAGCTCACAAATCTGGAACCAACTTGGCATTCCTCTCCTTGTATGCCAATAATGGCCTTGCTGAACAGCTTTAACTTCTCAATCACCTAAATGCTGTACGCATTCTAGAAAATATTAATATGCTTCCCTGCCGAAGGACAGCATCATTCGTAGCATTTCTAGAGGTATCAATGATCTTCAGGTAATTCATGACAAACTTCGTGATATCATTCTTGGGAAATCAGAAGACCGAAGGTTGAATCTTGAGCCCTATTAACTTGGCTTGGCAACGGTGGTCGAACGTGCCTGCTCTGGAGGTGTATGCACAAGAGATTTAGGATAATAAGGATAAAGCATTTGCCGTTGATCAATCCCTTTTTGGGATGCGGCACGCATTCTACTTCCATTTGTACATTCGTAGTGGCGTTTGAATGCGATGTGGCCTATACAATGACTTGCGGGGGCCAGCCGATGTACAAGTCAGTGTTTTTATCCTCCCAGACAAGTCTGGTACCAATTAACCGACCCCGGAGGGATGGAAGGCTTGGTTGGCCCGGGCGACTCACGACCCAGGATTTGATCCCCGGACCGCTCGCGTGGTAAGCGTGCCACTTGCCACTACACCACTTCCGCCCTTAATTCGCCTGATTTACTCGATGCTGAACACAACAAAGCTCCTGTAGCAGACGGATTAGTATAGCTGCTGCGCCAGGTCTTTCAGTTCTCATTTTCAATTGCCTTCGCTACGTCGAGAAGGGGCCAACGAAAGTTTGCAGAACATAATGTTTTATAGTACATTTGTTAGCAAGCTAGAGCTCAACAACGTGATCTCTAGACTCAGCTCCAAGGACTTTTCGAAGGGCATTGTAACATGGTTTCACCAGCAACACTGAATAACACTTTATAGATAATTATCATAGCTGATGTGACGAAGTTATACGAAGTCGTGGGCTCCAATCAAAGACTTAGCTTCTTCACCAGTGAACGTTCGTAACGAAATCGAGCTCGAAAAAACATTTGCGTCTTCTTGTGAGTGAATCAGACCCCATTTTGTTTTCAGAGAATTTTGAAACCAAATTCAAAATTTTCCAAGAGTTGTTCCCCATCCTCCAGCTAGTTGTTCTTCCTAATAATTCCTAAGTCTAATTGAGAACCGGCCAACGTCATATTTTAAGATGGCCAACGCTGAAACATGGAGGTTGGGCTGTGCAGTGGAACTCTGCATCGACAACGACTCACCGACGCTGGCGCGCTATTATGCCGTTGTGTGCCGCTACGGCAGACCGTGAGTTGGTAATCCTTGGAGAAAATGAGAAGTGGAGAAAGCAAATGTGACCCGTTCACTTTTCAGGCCACGTCATTGGGCAAAGCCACTTTATGAGAAAAGGTCCACCGTGTCTAAATGTGGCCCGCGGCCTTCAAAGATGCCGCTCCAAGAAAAAAAACTTTGCGATGAAAATAATGAAGTGCACGACTTTATTTGAAAACTTGATTTGGTTCGGCACATATCGTACTGAATTAGAAAATATGTTAATGTGCACATTCCTAAAGTTCGTCACCACCCGTGTCGGGGAGACGTGTCACCTATAAGTTGGAGAATGCGATGAATTTGAATGGTGGTTCTCCAAGGGCTCGGTTGGTATTGGAAAGTACGAGGATAAAGTTTGTGATGCACATTATTTCGTCTTGGCTCACAATGGAAGGGCCACGATTCCTAAGCCAGAAATACCATGAAATTGAACTGCTCGCATGCATGAAACACAAAAACAAAGCATCAAGAAAGAGGTTCTGTAAAGGATAAACTGCTATGCACATAGGTGCGAGATTCCCACAACTTATACTCTTCCTTGAGGTCAGAACTAAGTTTCGTCACAGCTTACTGAGTGAAGCTGGTGATCCACTCATAAAATCTCGACATATTATTCATACTGAGTTCGTTGGAGAAACGTATCTGAAGTTTTTGAATCTTTTCGTTACATTCACCTTCAAAGTTGTGGCGGTGCGGCGATTTGCGATGGACTAATCCTCACATAGAGTCAATTTATCATTTTTGTTAGCGGTATGGTACAGAGTCACTGACTCTTCTGCTTCGCTCTATCAGGCACCAGTTCCTCAAAAGCGAACTCGTGACTGAAAACTGAAACTGGATCTTCCCTACTTTTCATCTCGCTGCCGTGTAAGCTGACATTTGAAGACAATTGACCAGGTTATTTCGCCTAGCCAGGGCCAGCCATCGTGGCTGTGCCGCATTCGAAAACAACGAGATCCTCCGTTGTTAGGCTCTCGACACGACACCCACCACTACTTGAAAGCTTCCCAGTACGACCTCTAGCACCCTGTCCACCACGACTCTCACCAACATGGCTGCTTTTATCACTTCATTATGTATATAAACCACAACCATGATATGTCGGGATGTCGGTTTGTTTGTCGGGGCCTATGTGAGTCTGGATGTCGGTTTGTTGGTCCGCAAAATGAAGGCAGCCAATAAAAAAGCAACCGCTTATGAGACTAAGGTCCACTTCAGTGCTGAAGTACAATTTAGATGTGATGTCGTGATTGTGGTATCACCCACAACGGATACATAAATCTACTACGAGAGTTTACTCTCGGTCATTCAATGATAGAAAGTACGCAAATTTCGTCACTCATGCGATATCTTCAGCTCAAAGCCATTTTTAGCTCATGTGTTAGAAAAACCCAAATGCTGAAAGTCTGAGGCGAAAAGAACTCGTTTAGCTTTTGCTAAGTAGAAAATCCTTACATAAGATCGATACTGAATATGACAACAAGATCGATCTTTTGTCCCTTTGATTCGGAATAGCCTCTGACCCAATGGCAGTGCAAGGTGGCCACAATTACGGTAACAAGCCGAAGCAGCCGTGGAAAATCTGCACAACTGAAAGAGACAAGTCTTCTTCTTATTCTTTAGCGTCTGTCCCGCTTGTAGGCGGGGTCCGCTTTTCTGATGTGTTGACGCCACTTTTCCCGATTAAATGCTTGATCGGGGTGGATGTTAACGCTCTTCAAGTCTTCGTGCAACGTATCGAGCCATCGCTGCTTCGGGCGTCCTCTAGGCCGCTTTCCGGCACGTCAAGGTTGAGACCGATCTTACGGACACTGTCATCATTCGCGCGAAGAACATGTCCATACCATCGGAGACGGGCTTCGCGCATTTTATCAACAATCGGAGCTACACCGAATCGCTCCCTGATGACATCATTACGAATGCGTATACGAATCGCTCCCTGATGACATCATTACGAATGCGATCTAATCGTGTGACTCCGGCTGTCCAGCGGAGCATCTTTGTCTCCATCACACCGAGACGGGCTTCAACTTCTTTGGTCGCAGGCCAGCACTCAGCACCGTAAATGGCGACCGGCCGGATGACGGTTCTATAGATCTTGGATTTGAGACGCTCAGGTATATTCTTATCGCAGAGAACGCCAGTCATCGAGCGCCACATAGCCAGAATGAACGTAGCCGTCACCCCGAGATAACCTCCGCGCTGCCGGCGCCACTTCGACCACGCTGCACTCACGCGAGAATTCGTTTCAGAACACCAGACTGCCGTCAGACGCAATTGCTGATCCAAGATACTTGAATGTTGTTGTACGTGTGAGCTCAGTACCATTGATCTTAATAGAGCCTGGCTCACTCGGATCGGTGGTCAAGTACTCTGTCTTTTTGACATTCAACCTGAGTCCGAACATAGCTAGACGGTCGGACCAGGTTTGCACCTGTTGCTCAAGCGTGCTTTTATCTTCGCTAGCGAGCATCACGTCATCAGCATAAAGAAGCGTCCATGGTACCGGCTTCTGGAGATCTTTTGTAATGGCATCCATGACGACAACAAATAGCAGTGGGGATAACGCAGAGCCTTGGTGTACTCCGACAGAGATGGGAAAATCCGTCGATGTGCCCGCGGCAGTTTGCACTCGGCTCTTTGGACTCGAGTACAGGATGCGCACCCACTCAATAAGCTCTTCGGGAACGCCATGCTGTCGTAAAGCATACCATATAACGTCACGTGGAACGCGATCGAAAGCCTTCTCCAAGTCTAGAAAGGCAAGATGTATCGGCTTTTGTTTTTCGCGATGCTTTTCTAGCAGAAGGCGAGCGGCGTGTATGGCATCGATGGTGCTGCAACCAGCAACAAAACCACACCCTTTTTTTTTTTTTTTTTTTTTTTTTTTTTTTTTTTTTTTTTTTTTTTTTTTTTTTTTTTTTTTTTTTTTTTTTTTTTTTTTTTTTTTTTTTTTTTTTTTTTTTTTTTTTTTTTTTTTTGTCAGCTCGACGACGTCACGGATACGACTGTCTACAATTCGCTCAAAGATTTTCATGCTATGCGAGAGCAGGCGAATTGGACGGTAGCTAGTGCAGTCCGCAGGACTGCCTTTTTTCTTCCAGATTGGAATCGTCGTGCTCTGTTGCCAGCTCTCAGGCACCTTCTTCTCTGCAACGACCTGGTTGAAGAACTCCGTCAACCACTGTGCAGGATTCCAGCACTTTGATTTCCACAAGTCCGCCGCTAAGTCGTCAGGACCAGTCGCTTTGCCTGATTTCATCTTCTTCATAGCCGTAATGGTCTCCTCCATGGTTATCTTCTGAACGGGGCCGTGTACTGGCGGAGCGCAAGGGATGGCGGGATGAGCAAATTCGACTGTTGAGATGTTCTCGAAGTATTCACACCATCGCTTCAATGTTTTCTCGCGGTCCCGTTCAAAGGTGACCATTCGCATCGATTATTTGTAACGAAGCTTCGCTTCCATTTCCAAACCAATCGCTCCTTTACCTAGTCGAACTTCGCAGTGAGTGTTGCAGCTTCTCGAAGGTCCTGATTCGCTTGACAAAGCCAAACATTCGATAGGTTGACAAAAAAATAGTGAATGCTTCATGAAGAGCTTAGGGCTTAAACAATCCAAACTAGCAAATCTTTACGTGTACAAAAA